TTGACAAAGATGAATAATAATTCGTGAAATAAATCGGATTAATATCTACATGGAATATCAGGCGTGTTTATTGATAAAACGGACAGTAAATTAATGAAACTGATGACTCTAGAAACATTGGGCAAATTTATTGATAAAATGAATTATAATTAATGAAGTAGATAGTTGAATTGGTAATTTGAAGAAACGTTAGATAAATTTATTGACAAAGATGAATAATAATTCGTGAAATAAATCGGATTAATATCTACATGAAATATCAGGAAAGTTTATTGATAAAACCAACAGTAATTAATGAAACTGATGACTCTAGAAACATTGGGCAAATTTATTGATAAAATGAATTATAATTAATGAAGTAGATAGTTGAATTGGTAATTTGAAGAAACGTTAGATAAATTTATTGACAAAGATGAATAATAATTCGTGAAATAAATCGGATTAATATCTACATGGAATATCAGGCGAGTTTATTGATAAAACGGACAGTAATTAATGAAACTGATGACTCTAAGAAACATTGGGCAAATTTATTGATAAAATGAATTATAATTAATGAAGTAGATAGTTGAATTGTTAATTTGAAGAAACGTTGGATAAATTTATTGACAAAGATGAATAATAATTCGTGAAATAAATCGGATTAATATCTACATGGAATATCAGGCGAGTTTATTGATAAAACCAACAGTAAATTAATGAAACTGATGACTCTAGAAACATTGGGCAAATTTATTCATAAAAAACAAATTTATCGAATCGAGCCAAAATTTTTCGAGTCAGACGCAGCGTCCATCAACGAGAAAACACACCGAACTTTCTCTGTTAAATGGACACAGCGTAGCTTAACGATTACGTCTTGAAGTTGGAGGTCGACACCGCGTGCCGAAGTGGAAGTCAATAGCACGACGATGTAAAAATCCGCGTGGAACGAGGCGAAACTTTTGAACAAACGAGGGAAGCGCTGCTTATCTCGTCGAGACGATATTAAACTCGGATGCTTACCGACCGATTTACCGAGATATTCGAACTCTCCGTTTTAATCCGCGTCTTCTCCTCGTAGTTATCAGGCGTAAAGCCGAGTTTAAACTCTTTCACGAAAACAAATCTCCTTTAGCCTTCGGTGATTCCGGCTTGTAAAAGCCGTTTAACGACGCCGCGCGGGCAAATAAGTTTGAAGATCTCCCCCCGGAGATGAGATTTCAAATCCGATAATACTTTTTTCCTTTTTTCTTTTATTTCACTGACTGTCGATTCTCTTTAGTCCCTCTCCAATCGTCGTGGAATTGAATATTATATAACAAAATCCAAGTGCAATGAAAGACTCGTCCTGAAAGAGTCCTTCCACCGTCGAAAGGATCGAGCACTAATCGATCGGCGAGCACTAACGAAATAGAACTAAAATCGCCGAGCCGTGGGAACACTATAAAGCGGCAGAAACATTTCACTATTGGTCGATCGGTATTTCTCCCCGACTTTGTTATATGCGTCCCATTGTCGAGGACACGCTGCTCGTACTCTGATTCTATTCCGCAGTAGCACTCCGGAAAGAGGCAGAATTCTGCTTGGAAACCATGCTTTGTTGGCACACAAAGCCTGAACAGATTTATGAACGTCGTGTTTCCTTATCTCCTGCTTCTGTTTCCAATTGCACGATTGGTCGAATGTACCGTGACGTCGTGATTATCATTTTGAATAAATCTGAAGTTGCAAGTCGAACAGAAAGAATCACGTCATTTTCGTTCAAGATTTTCTAAGCTCTCGAGCAAAAGAGAAGCAAAATTAAGTCAAAATGATAAGCAAATATGGATTTTCAACGGTTTATTTCCTTGTCCAAATTTGAGGAAGCATTCGTGGCACATTGAGATTGATAAATCACGTTCTTTGTGTGACGTATATTCTGTGTACTTTGACCGAGACTGCTATCATTTGCTTAATCTTTTGATATCGCACAAGAGTCTCTTAATTACAGGTATTATACAAAATTCATGCGACATGATATTTCGCACTTTGGGCCAAATCTTGGTCATTCAATTTATATAATGTTCGTGACGTGTTTGATTTTTTATTACGATATCTTTTTTTTTAATTAATAAATATTTACTCTGTCATGAATTTTGCAACTATTCATAAATTTTGTGTGGTATGATTTCTGTCTTTGAAAATTTCTTCATTCAAATGACCGATCGACGCGTTCAAACATTAATGTTTTTTTGTCTTCGACTATGCGGAAAATGGCATAATTCAGATAGCAACATTCCTCGATGGCTATCTCATGCCCATATATATATAAAACGAGTCACAAAAGTATCCTTGTCCTTGCAATTCGTATATGTATAACAATTAAGATTTCACCGAATGATGTAAATAAAAATTTGTGCAAACCTGATTTGTAGATTTTTATATCACAGGAGTATTAACTTTAAATTCACGCTATTAACACGATTACACAACCTTCAAGATTCTTTCAGGAATAATTTTATCACGTGCGAATAATTATCAATGCTTATCAATGTCTATTTCTCAAGAAAAGAAATGGCGCGGACGAGCCGAGTTTAATCAAAGAATGAATTTATTAGCGAAGTATCTTACCTGATATTCTTCGTTGGTATATTCGCGTCGATAACCTATTTTCAGTAACTCGTGAATGCTTTTTTTCTTTGTTTTCAAACGTGACAGCTCATATTACAGATATACTGTGAATATATTATATTAACTAAAGTTTAGAGACGTTTATCTGCAATCAATTGTAAGAGAAGGATAAAATGTATCTTTCCAGATCAGGAGGGATTTGCCAGCGAACCTGCATGTATGTATATAGTAGAGACTATAGTTAGTTTGAGAAATTTGTTCAGAGAAAAATGGTGAAGAGAAAATTTAGAAAATTTGTTTGAATTTATTCTCTTGCGAATTGTTATCGTCACGTTGAACTTAAAAAAAAGGGGGAAAGGACAGATCAGACAAAATCGAAGAAGTTCGTAGATCTTTTCACGCAAGAAGAGACCAGTGGCAGTATCCTGTAATAGATCCTCTCGAAATCTTCGGCGTTCTTATCCGTGAAACGTTCGTGCATCCTGGGTATAGTATTGATATCTAATTGAAGACCATCTTTGCCAGAAGCTATCCAATTGACGATGCGATTTTTATCCTTTGGAGTCGGATTCCTGACAAGGTGAAAATTTCTCTTAGAAATGATCTCTAACGTGGTCGTTAACCTATTTTATTTCCTCATCAATCGTACCCATATTTGGCGAAATTGGCCCACATGTTGACCATCCTCTTTCTGAATCGATTGAATCTGTTCCTCGGGTTTGTAGGTGCGTGAAGCGCCTTTGAATTGAATATGTATCCAACATCGTCGAAATGCGCGGTTCCTGA